TTGATTGCTCTCCAAAATGAGGGCATACCTTTCGCCGCACCCTGTACTACTGGAGGTAGCACGTCTCGATAAAAGTGTGTCAGGGTGCGAGAGAGAAAGGTAGATTAGAGGTGACAGCTATCTCTCTCTTACTGAACGCTCATTGGTCGATTCCAATTCCCCACTTTTGAGAGATTGTAACGTATAAATGTATACGAAATAACATTATAAAACATCTATTTATTTATATATATAAGATAAAAATATGTTTCAGAGGTTGAATCTATTATTTTATATAATAAATATATGTTTGCGTATAATTTAATTAAAGATAATTTAATTAAAGTGTACAGAATAGCACCCTAGGATAATTATATGTATATTTTTTACTCGTTAGTGGAGATATTTCTGATGAAAGGAACAAACTTTACAAGTAAATTAGTAATTGATTCCGAGAATGAATCAGAGTTTTTTATTTCCATCCTGGTGATAAAAATGATAAATTCTCATTGGGTCATTTCTTTATGCCTAATACGTTACGTTTTATGCCAAAATCTGTGCTCTTCGCTTTACTTAATCGAATGGTAGGATATTTTCGTCTTCCTATGATCACAGAAATGAAAAACTACTAGATTTCCTAAGTATTAAGGCAAAAATTTTCCTACAATTGCTTATAAAAAACTACCAAACTTAGTAAGATTCCTACTGTGTTGGCAACACTGGTCGCAACTATATGTAGTTAAACTGTGGTTAAACTGTGATACCAGCTTAAGAAACATTATTACAGTCGAACGTGTAGAATAAGTACATGTTCTATGCTATGACGCGACTTGCCTGCCGCCTACATAAAATCAAGGTCGAACAAAAAGAACACAGGATTTTCCGTTCCTTTTACCGATGTTCCTTATCTACCTATTTTATCCTATTCTCACGTCAAGTGACAGTTTCGTCATGTGAAAGAGATACGTGATACGATCGTCGTACTGTTCAAAAATTGCTGTAGTAATTCACAAAGGTAATTTCAGATCTGAAACTCTTGTTAAATCTTGCGAGAAAAGTGCCATGCTTTACAAATCATCACGAAATTCGATAATTATTAACAATGTAAACGTGAGTTACGCTTCCACGTCTAACGCTAAGTGCTCGCGCATGAGAGACAACTTGTTTTCCGTTTAAAACTCACGACCGAAGTATTTCAGATCATGTGTTAATGTTGAAATTCTTAATCCTATCGATTATGTTGTTACGTTGGGATTATTCCTCGGCACGAATCATGTATAGTTACGGAGGACATTAATATCAATTATTGTTAATGGATTCGCGTGTGCGGTTACTGAAAATCGGATAAAGCCGTTTTAGTAAATCTGCTCAGCGAAAACGTGATCCACGTATCATCGTGACATCATGGAGAAGTTCGCAATTGATTTGGACAAGGTCCTCGATGATTTCGAATTCAACGAAGGTACGCATTTCCGAGCGAAGTTCGTCAGTTCAACTTTTAACGTCATTCTAGCAACATGTTAAAGATGCTTTAGATGCTGCAAATTAAACGTTAATTATAACAATACCTTAAGATAGATGTTATCACCGGGTGCAATTATCTTAGAGATATATATTTGCACGTATCACAAAAGATACAGATAACAAAATTCAACTTTTGCTGACACACAAAATTTTATCACTTACAGACTGTGCAGAACAAGTAGCATCGGTTGTAACTTCCACAATTGATGCTTCGGGTATAGACAAGCGTACAACTGAATCGTTACATCCAAAAACATACAATTACGTTACTGTTAATTCTGAGAAAGGAAAGGCAGCTGATAGTATACCATCTTTTGAAAAATACAAAGACACTCGGCCGATAGATGTCGATTGTAGATATTCGTTGACTGAAAGGAACATAATGTCAGTATCAGAAGGTAAAGATTCTATAAATAATTATTATACACATGACCATGTAGGTGATAACAAGACTGGACAGAAATTGTGTGTTCATTCTCATGATTCCGATCAAGCACCTTTAACATTGTACAACGACATATCATATAACTTGCTGCAAAAACAACAAAATGGAAATAACGATTCAAAGGATGACAACAGATACGACAAGAAGTTAAATCAACCGAATATCAAACCTAGTATTAGCAATGTTTTTAATAGTTTGAACGAATATATCAACGCTCCCACTAGGAGCTTGGATTATGTTGAACCTATGTTAGATGAAACAAATGATCTGTCCAAAACGTCCATAGATAACATAGAAGAGAAAGATCTTAGACTGAGCAGAGATATAATGATTAGCAAATGTTCAACTTCCAACGCAAAAGGGTTTGTAGGTACAACTAGTACAAATACTTTGGATTACAAAAATACCTTACCGATGGAAACAGGTAAATTACTTGAGACGGAAACTATTGATGAGCAAGATAATACTATACAAAATGTTGTATTTCATTCTGCTCCGATGCAGTGTGAGAAAAATAGTAATAACACTGTAATCTCTGAAACAGCGAGTGCGGCCAGTTCGAAATATGCATGTGATAATGTTACTGCAAATACAGAGCTATCTAACAATAATAAAATAGGTGTTAATGAAAAGTTCGCAACCAATGACAGCAGATCTGATGAGATTCTTGACGAAAGTCTTGCTGGTAAACAAGAGCAATCAGATACAGAGAGACAAGATCTTGCTGATAAACTCGGCTCTGGCGAAAATAAGGAAAACATAATAGCGAGTACTACAAAGTTGGATACGAATGTAACGAACAACGCAGAAAATGAGGTTGCGAAGAAAACGATTAAAAATGCTTCGACCGATGTGCGCACAACGATCAATGCCAGCGACGACTTTTCCGAGGAGGAGCTAAATCGCTATTTATTGGAGTTGGAGGAAGAGGAAAAGCTGAAGGAGGAAGCAACATCACGCGCGGATACCTCGTCGATAAAATCATACAATGAGTCGAACGACGAGACTATGAAGATCGTGTATCAGCATCAACGAGATGACGAGGGGGGCGCAAAGGAAGCACCCATGTTGGAGAAAATTATGATTGGTGAACATCCGAAAATATCAGAAGAAGAGCCTCTGGAGAAGGAAGCGAAGAAGTATCCTGCGATCGACTACAGCACAGGTGTGTCTAATAGGAACGCGGTGGATGTTTCTGCGGGAAGAAAAGACTCACAGGAACTTAATGATACCGTGAAGGTTGCCTCGGGTGAAAAACACAGTCAGTCAAAAGACATGCGAGACAATGAGCTGGGTAAAGCAGCGCAAAATAATGACGATGTAACGACCAAAATAGTTGGTCAGCACACGGAGACACAAGAAAATGCTTCACGAGCTGCGTCGAGTGCGGCCGTTGCTGAGGAGAACGAAATCCCGATTTCGAAGCCGGAAAATGTCGGTGAACAATACAGTCACGGCGTAACTATGATACAGAAGTTACAACAGAATGCCAGCGCAGATACGCAATCGCAAGACAACAAAGACGATACTGGTGAGGATAAGAGAGAAGCGGAAGACAAAGAAATCCACGGTGAAAACGGAATACACTGCAACATTATCGAGAACAACAAAGGAAATGTCCCTGGAACACATGATAAGACTTTTAAGGCCGAAGTTGTAGCTAAAGTCACCGATATTAGTACAGTTTCCAGTACGGACGAGAACAGTCAAGAAGCTGGCAAACCCACTCGTCCTCAGACATTAGATATTGTTTCGACGCATAACAAAGATGACTCCCATACACTCGGTAAGTGCTTAATGCATAGATTATCAAGATTCTCAGGATCACGTGTAGTTTGTGTTTAAGCAAAACATTGATGCTTATTGAATTGTTGATTTCTCTCTTACTGATGTTATATCGTGTAATACTGTGACACAGAATCTTCGAGCGCTACACCGAGAGAAGCAGAACATTCGGAAACCGGAGGCCCTGCTGACGAGGATCGGGGTGCTTCATCGGACGTATCTGATAATTCTTTAATGGAGTGCAACACGGTTCTGGGTAAACAGCCCCCGTTTTGGGTGCCGGACAGCGATGCACCTTGCTGTATGTTATGCGATGTTAGGTTTACTGTACTTAAAAGACGTCATCATTGCCGTGCTTGCGGTAAGGTATGTGAAAATAGAAGATAGAATCCAGTTTCTCGTTTTTGTCTTGTCGATTGGTATGTGGATACTAATTGATAAAACGCAATGAATTTTGTGTGTTCCAATATACATTATATATATATATANTTTTATTATTGTACATTATTAATATGTATACATAATTCATTGTTTTGCTAACTGGTTTTTCTTTGTCAAGGCCTGTTCTACAATATGCCGTATGCCGAAATTGGATGTCGGAACGCACTCGATAGTCCAATGAGAGAATTTATTTTTTGGAAGTGAGTTCTCATTAGACCATCGAATACGTTCTGGCATCCGACAGCGACATACGACGTATTGTAGAATAGGTCTAATTTGCCACGTCGTACCGACATCTGTTCTTTGAATATGATGATCAAGTGTTTACGTGTTTATTATACATTTCGCAGGTGTTGTGTCACAAGTGTTGCAATATGAAATATAGATTAGAATACCAAGTAAACATCGATTCCCGTGTTTGCGTCCTGTGTCATCACGTACTCACAAAAGGTAACTGGAAGTAATCCCTTTGACGAAAGATTTATCTCGTAGTGATATCTTCTTGATATTATTATATGAAGGAAAATAAACAGAATTTACATTGTATACTTGCACTTTTAGCGGAGAACGAACAAGGAATGGGCGACTGGTCATCCAGTTATAGCTCATATGCTGGCTGCAGTGACATCAACTCCCCACAGGTATGTTAGTCGCAATTTACGGTTCGAATTTTGATCCATTTTATTGATATCTGTAGCGCAAAACTGTAGCTTTAGGCCATTGAACGCCACTCTGTGAAGTGCCTGTTTGTTAACGAGTTTTAAGAAAAGAAGCCGACTGCTTAAACTCATTAACAAATCACTTTTAGAGTTTCATTCAGTGATGAATTATATCAAATAACACTATTATATCAAATAACACTAACTTTTTATAAGCATTATACAAACATTAATGTAAGTCTAGTCGAGTACCTATAACAACTTGTTGAATACTTCTGTTTAATTTTTATGCTTTATTTGTGCAGACAATTTGTGTTTATCAAAAGCAGATTAAGTTAATAAATGTTTAAATAACGAACTATTAACACACATAAGCAGATTAATATTATGTTATCATTCTACATTAAAAGTTTCAGATATACACCTATATATTTAAATTAAGTGCATTCTTAAATTAATCCTCAAATTGTTAACCTTTTTGAATTTTGTGTAAGTAAAAATATGTAATTTCGAGAAATGAAATTGCTTGCATATCAATGTCTGACTAGTGATCATAAAAAAGTTGAATATAGTTGCCAAAATATTTTTTATTGTTGTTAATAAGTATTTTGTATTGTTTTATAACGTCGGAAAAACCGAACATTTTAAATTAAGGTGCCCAAGAGCTGCTAAGATACAAATTCTCAATGATTATGTTTAATAAGCACCTTTACGAATTATCGTTCCTAATATATATTATTACTTATTTTTATGCATTTTATATATTATTGAATTGAATTATAGCATGTACAATTTTTTAATGGCTCCTCTTGAGCTTCGCGAGTATTTAATTCGTTTTCAGTAGAGTATGCATGTCAATATAACGATCAAGCATGGTTTAGTAGAGCTACTATGCAATAAAATATAGTCTGCTTTATATTGCGAATATAGTTAGGGTCCAGCAAACACACACACACACACACACACACACACATATAAATAATTTATTAAGGTAAAGAAGAAACATCTTCAATTTGAAATTTTCTTCTTGATAAATTGTCAAATGTCGTGCATCTAAAGTAACTTCTTAAAATTCCTCATCTCATGTCTATTTCTCGATAATGAAAATATTCACAAGTTATTAAACATCGAGTCCTCTAGTTACTCTTCATTGTGTTAGAATGATGAAACGATGATTTTTTTTCATGATTAACTTTATTGCACAATAGTAACCATGCTTTTCCTATTCGGGCGTGAAATGTGTTCGCTGGACGATTGAACGAACGTCGGTGTTAGAAGTATTCGACAAATGGTTATAGGGGAGACAGCCTAATCCAAATAATCCCATGGAGTACTGTTCAACTATACCACCCTTGCAACAGTTAGCCGGCGGTTTGCCACCACCACCGACGGTGATGGTACCTGTGGGTGTTCTTAAGAGAGAGGGCTCCAAACATCGTACAGAAGGGCAGAAATCTGTAATGTTTAGTGATGGTAGGTAAAATATTAGAAATTTATGCTGTCAAATGTTCTCAAAATCTCTCTCTCTCTCTCTCTCTCTCTCTCTCTCTCGCACTAATGTGTTATATGTGTGTATGTGTGTTACTTTCAAAATAATCGAATCTCTTTTATATCAGTTTCCTACACACATCGTTTTTGAATCGTTTAATATGCAGAATAACGAGACAACGGCTACGTATGTATATGCGTATAACAAGTTATCCTGTATTATTATCCTGTATGTCATTTCTCCTGCTGCGTTATACTTTTCAGTTGTTTCTGTTCTCGTTATTCCTTCATCCGATGCGGTATTATTTGTCACTTATTTTCCACCACTCTGGGACGTGTCGCCACGTTGTCAGCCCCCTGAACCCTTCCTGGTTTGTTTTATTTTTACGCACCTATAACTAAAACACAGGAATAAGGCCTGGCTGTGACCTGACAGAGCTAGACACGTGTTGGGATCTGAAGCCACCGTACCGTAAGCAGGGGAACAAGCGGATCTTCGCGTCAGGATCCACATCGACCGATGCTGCAACGAGGAAACAGAGTCATCCTCCTTTAGATAGCACGACCAACAGCTACATACCGCACGATTCTAATTTATTACCACCGACCGTCACGATACACAAAGGCCGTAAGTAGATGTTACTGTGTTACACGAAGAATCCATAATCTTATCTCAACGCTTACGTCGCTTCTTTCTTTGTTGCAAACAGAAATCACCTATCACCCGCTTATGGATGAGAATGTGCTCTACAAGACGTTGAAGAATGAATGTGAGCCGCCCGTAATGTTTGCGGTCAATCGGAATCTCTACGCATATGTGAAGATTACCAATCGTGAGTGTACTTGCGACACTGAAGTACACTACAAGATAGATTATTTTATTTAATATACGCGAATATTTCGAAAAAAGTTTTTTCAAAAAATGTTTTAGATAAAAGTTTTATGGCTTCGAGAGGAAAAGATGATAACATTATCAATTTAATTGTAGATAGTGCCATTTTCGAGATTTCATCAGGGCGGTCATTTTTTAAATGGAAGTCAATTTTTTTCTTGAAATAAAACTTGTAGTTGGCAATGAAACGAATACAACGGATTTTTTTAAATTGGATCATTTATTATCGTTTGAGTTACAACGTTCCAAAGTTTATAATATATCGCCACTAAAGCGACCAATATATGTACATTATTCTCATCATATCCATGTCTTTGTCTTCTACGTACCAGGTAAACATTTATTTAAGAACTCAGCAAGGTAACTTGGTACGCAGGAGATAAAGACATAGGTATTAAGAACAATGTATATATATTGGTCATTTTAGCGGCAGTAAATTATAAACTTTGGAACTCTGTAACTCAGTGAAAAATTATCCAATTTCAGAAAAAAAACCGTTGTACTCATTTTATTTGTTAGCTACTTCCACTTTTAAAAATGGCCGCAATTTAAAAAAAATGATGAAATTTCGAAAGTGGCACTATCTACAGTTAAATTGATAATGTCGTCATTTTCCTCTCTTGAAGCCATAAAACTTTCGTCTGAAACATTTTTGAAAAAAACTTTTCTTTTTGGAGATATTTGCGTGTATTGAATAAAATGATCTATTTTGTATATCGTTAAACAAAACTCGTGAGACAAGCTGCATTTTTCATTACGTGGATTTTTAGTGAACTGCTGCGTGAACAAGATCTGCTGGAACGTAACGTCGAGAGGTCTCGCCTGCGTCGGCCAAGACGAAGTGATATTGTTGGTCGAGACTTTGCCGGATGAAACGCGGATCCCAAAGGATCTACTCGTGTACATCAATCAGTTGTATCTCGAAGCTATTAAAGGTAACTCCTGTCATCATTATTAGCATTTCAATAACTGCAAAATCTATTGGGTCGATGCAATTGTTCCACTTCTTTATTAAAATATTTACATATTGCACTTATTTTAAAATGCAATAAATTAACTATGCCATTTTTTTCGATAACATCGCCATCTCGCCCATAGTTGCATGATCCCGCGCTCGTAGGAATTCTAGGATTTCTGAGCGAAAAACTGACAAAGAAACGGAACGAATTTTTCAGGCATAGGAACGGCTCTTTTCCTCGTTTATTTAGAGACACTTCATTTTTTTCTCATTTTTTTTTTATTAAAAAAATTCATTTTTTTGCACTTTTTTATTCGATTTGAGTCCTTTCGAAAAAAAAAATATTCGATCATAAGAAATTATGTTCAGTAACTTTTTTTTTTAAACAAAACAAAAGATTCAAAGAAAATAAAACATTATAACTATATTGACTCCAACAACACAATGTTCATAAAGTGAAGAACTGTGATTTTATTTTTAAACAGTTTTTATCTAGTTTATCAGAAAAGTCGACATGAGCATACCTGACTGTTTTCTTTAAATTGGATATTATTGAATATTATTTTTAAGAAGTTGACTAACTAGTTTATTTTCAATGGAAAAATCGATAATTTAAAAATGTTTACATTTATTTCTAAAATTTGTTTTTGCTTGACGAAAAGATCTGGGATGTTCCAACATCGTGGAAATATGTTACAATGTAGCTTAACTAGATTCAAGTATTATTTTTTATTTCATTAAACATGTTTGAAAAGACGATTTCTATTTTTTTGTAAAGAAAATTTTATTGTACCTAAATATGTATCTAAGATTGAGTTTAAAGTAAATTTTAGATTCTAAGTATCATAACTATTTTGTTCCGCAAAATCTATTAACTTTCACTATAAAATCAGTATTATTTTTAATTTTTGAGAGAAAGATATATATATATATATATATATATATATAGGCCTGTATTTAATTCGTTTTCAATAGAGTATACATGTCAATATAACAATCAAACATATATATATAGAGATGGTATAATAGAAAAATAATTTAATTTTTAACGTGCAAATTCAAAAAAATTATTACTATTATTTTATAAAAAATGTATTATTATTATACTTATTTTTATTCGCTTTTTTAAAAGCTTTATTATTTATTATTTTTTACATCAATCTAATGCTATTCTAATGCAGCTAATAATCTCGGGTCTGTTCGCAGGTAACACAATGACGGAACTCGGATTCTCGGTATATCAAGGCGGTAATTTGCTAGGTTCCCGCGAGCACACGGGCTTTCTTTTTATTCGCCAGTCGCTACAGTGCTTGCAGAAGATCATCTTACCACCAGCGCCTTTTCTAGTCGGACTGTTAGTCCACAGGTGAATATATCGTTGAAGTATAATAAGAATTTGTACTTCCAATATACATGTTATCGTTCCTTGCTTCGTTTCAGTTATATTCTTTTTACCTAACAATTATCATTTTCCTTGCTGCTTGTCAGATGGGAAACTCCGTGGGCCAAGGTGTTCCCGTTGAGGCTTCTCTTGCGTCTCGGTGCGGAATACCGTTATTATCCCTGTCCACTGGTGTCGGTTCGTTTTCGGGACGCGTTATACTTCGAGATTGGACATACCGTCATGAAAGTCTTGGCAGACTTTAGAAACTTCGGTTACACATTACCCGGAGTCAAGGGCTTGACAATCCATCTCAAGAATCGTACGACGGACGTCATGTTTCCCAGAAACCGATATGACCAAGTCATAAAGGGCCTCCACAACTCGAATGATCATGTTTTAGCTTACGCCTCGAACTTCAGTATATCCGCGGACTCTCACTTGGTTTGCATACAAACAAACACCGGCGACGAAAGCAATTATCAGACGCAAGCGATAAATATTCACAACAAACCGAGAACGGGTGAGTGTCGACGAATATTTTTTTCATCCCTTGCAAATATTCGCTTCAATTTTTTTTTATATATTTATACGTACGTTATAAAAAATGGATACTTGCGCTCTCTTTTTATTTAATTTGTATTAATGTACGAAATCTCCTCTACATATTTTTCCTGCCTTGCAGTAACCGGCGCCAGTTTTATTGTCATCAACGGTGCACTGAAATCCTCGATGGGCCTCTCCGCCAAATCTAGTATCGTAGAAGACGGATTAATGGTAGAAATAATGCCGGAAAAGATGGAGGCATTGAAAGCCGCTTTGAAAAATATGCAGGATTTTTCAATCGGCTGCGGACGACAGGGAGCGTCGGAGCCAGATGAGACTGTAAATATCAAATGGGTCGATAACGATACGCTGTTCAATCTGGGGTAAGTTTTCCTTCTATCGATATCTCTTACATATCGCACTTCACGAGATATCTGATATGATCTTCGCGATAGATCTATTTCAATCAGAGTAAATCTAATATAACCGTTATATAATCGTATCATCAGAGCTCGTATGTATCGTTTAATAACATACAACATTTCATTTCTAGAGTCAAAAGCCCCATCGACGGACAACTGATGGATGGTATACCGTCTATCAGAGTACACAATGGCACCGATTACAAGGGTACAACTCGATTTATACGCTGGACAGAAGTATTTCTTATAAAAGTACGGTATCAGAGCTAACGTAGAAACAGAGCATGTCGCTTTCTATATAAATGGTGATTAATTAAATCGTATTGTTCCCAAAGTCAGACGATCATTCGAACGGTGTGAGCGATCCTGTGGATGTCAGTAAACTATCTGGAAATATAGCGAAAGCGACCTGCGCCGCGTTGGTCAAATTGTTGGATCTTCTGGCAACAGCCGGTCTAACGAAGCTCGGTGTGCGGGCCACAATTCATCCGGATAACGTAAGCGTATCTTCCGAATCTCTTGTTCCTAAGCGCAATGATCTCTTGTGTCCTTAATTATAATAATAATTAGAGCTAGTGTCGAAGGCTTTGACATTTGAATTTCGAAGATTCGTAGCTTCGGTGTTCATTTATTCATCGAATTTCGCAAACTTCGAAGCTTCGAAACATCGGAATTATACGATTTTTTAAATTAACAATCTTGTATTTTTTTACATTTATTTATATCAAATATAAACTCAGCGGGAAAAACATATTTCTCGATATAAAAAAGCGACTGTGTAATATTTGATACATTCATTCATTTATAAAAGTTCATTTATAAAATTCTTTAATATTTCCTGAATAAAATATATGTAAACAATAGTCTAGCATTCGCAAAATTGTATTTTTCCAAGCTTCGAAGATTACGACTTTTCAAACGTACCTTCGAAGCTTAAAAATAGTCAAAAATTTTATTATTTATATATACAAAGATTATTTAAGATATACTAAGGCTGTAACAGCTTTAGTAATGATCCAATTTATTTGACCCAATTATTGTATACAATTGTTTACTAATATGTGTAGGTATGAAATGTGCATTATAGGTGGGTTACGAGGCCGGAAGCGAGGGTACAAAATTGCCGCCAATCTACATGAACAGCTTAGACAATGAATTGATTCAAGTTTTACACAAGGCCGCGCAGAACAGTCAAGACGAGCATACGGTGCTCGAGTTGATATTCTACGTACTCGACGATTGAGGAGAATAGCGTGCATACTATGTTTCTTGACTAGAAGATGCCCCTTGCGGAGCTACAACGGGTAACTTTTATTTGAAGAAAGGCGAAAAGTGCGATTGCGGATCATCATGGAACGACGTTTACACGAAGCATACATTATCTATTCGCTGTACGCTTTTTCCTGTAACCGAGGATATTATTTTTAGTTTCTATTTCTCAATGCTACTTTTTCATCGCGTACTCGTGATATTTTTAATTCTATTGAAGAATTCAACGATACGATTTGCGTGAGAAGTACCTTTTCCAAATGTTGTAGATCGAGAAATGCCGGAAGGAAGCATAATAATGACACTTTAAGAGTGACAATTTTATAATAAATAGACTTTTATTCAACATTGTAACTAATTGGACTGCTCTACCACGGAACGTTATTTATTGCCAAAGACGTGCGCGCAGGATACGCTATATTCTTTATTAATGTAAATATACTTATCCTCTTTCTCGATTATTTTGTAAAGTATACACAGGAACTATCATGTTTCACCACAATATGACCTGAAGTGGCACTTTCATAGGAACTCTTTACAGATACTAACAACAATGACAATTGTTAGACAACCACGGTAGCTAGATCGCGGTGGAATTCGCTGTACGAACGTAACGGCAAATGCGTCCTGTGTGCTTATTCTGTAACTTTCAACGACAACATCGTTATCGTTGAACGTTGTTGCGCAATTATTATGTTACGTGTTATATCTGCGCGACGATAACGTAATGTATATGATCACAACGCGTAAGTTAAGAAAATTACAGAATAGGTCTGCTGTTCGCTTATGCAATTCTGTTAATTGATACATGTATTTGTTTACTAACAATATTTTATATATACATATATAGCAAATTTCTCGAACGTACAACAGCTTGTGTAAGACAGTACTGTAATGTAATTATTATTGTATTTATTGTTGTATAATAAAACTGTTAGATAAAATTAATATAATGACAAGACGATCTTGTTACTTAAACTCTAACTGAACGATGAAGTATCCGCATACGTGACGATGTTAATAAAAATTATTTTGTTACAACTGTGCGTTTTCATACCACTTTGTTATGAGTATGTACTCTTCATTCCTTTCCTATGTACATGGGCACATTCTATGTAATATACAGTCTAGTATAAGAATGTATCGAACGACATGATTATCCTGTTTGTATGCTGTTGTCTGGGCAACCAGAGGTACTAGTTCAGGCGACTCGGTCATGTAACGTGCTCACAGATTATAACGCATTACAGTGTTACGCGAGCTTCGAGTACTCGTTATTTTTGGAAAGGTGTACGACACTTGAAATTACTGCATCATGAGTGAAAACGTAAAGTTTATCGTGACGGAGATAAATAAATTACTGGGACGCAATTACAATTTAATTGGATTCAACTCCTTAAGTGCCGAAGATTTATTGCAAGTGCGTAATCGTTGCTTTTTCATTTTTGCTATACTTTCGTCAATAATTAATTTCGGCTATCCTTTCACAGGTACTGTGCGCTGTTCTGCTGAAGATACAACAACAAGATAATTTAGATGCCGACATCAGAATAGAGTCTCCGGAAGAAAGTTCCATATATATTTTAACAACCTTACGAATACTTAATTACCAGCCTGATATAGATCCTGTGGCGTTTAGGTATGTTTTTGAACAGTTTAATTGAGAAAGAGAGAGAGAGAGAGAGATTGATTTAAATCTTTTAAAATAATATCAAGCGAACGAAAAAGAAAATATAAATCCAATCAAATAAAAAAAATGGTTGATAAGACTTTATTCACTAAAAATTCATAAATATAAATTTTCTTAGGCAAGGTCTAGTTCGAGGCGACGTTGAGATCATTCATCCTGTACTGATGTGGCTTTTGACACATATCGATGTCGTTCAAAAGAGAGCATATTTGTCACGATTCCTCGTCAAGGTAACTCGCTAAGAGACCGTTCCCCAGGAGCATAATATATTCCCATACAATAATTGGCTACTGTATAATTATAGAAAAATAGCTAATAGTATAAATTCTTATGATCACCAGATAGAAATTCCACCGGAGTACCTGGGGGACTCAGAGATATCCCTCTTACATGAACAATATTTGTCCCTAGTTGACCGATTCAAGACAGTTCACAAGGAGAGAGAGATAGGGAAGAAGGTAAAGATAACTTGTGAAAATTCTCTTATCTCTATCTCGCGTGAATAATCATTCTTTATTTCACGCAGAATGTCGAAACTGCAGCCGAGCTCGCAACGGATCTCCAAGCGATGGGAAAAGAGAAAGAAGTATGTCGCTGATAATTATAATATCATTAGAGAATATATACTGGAGAATATATACAGGAATATCTCAGCGGAAGAATCAGTTATTTATTTTATTGCGATATGTAACAATGTAACGGATATATAGTAATTGATACATCTTCTGTTGCACATGTAGGCGGTGACAGCGCGCATCACGAAAATTAAATCAAAAGCCGAGTCTGCGCTGCATCTATTGGATTCTTGCAGGATGTTGCGGACGGAAAGGGACAAAGAACGTGATTTGATGTCGCAGAAAGAGCAAGAGGAGGACACTATGTCTGATTTGCAGGTATATTCCCTGCAAAAGGTAACTCGCAGGTAATTCGTCGAATTTGCGCGCTTCCACTACGATAAAATCGTGCTTTGTTGCGTTCAGAATTCTCTTCAACGGGTGGAACGCGAGCTGCAAATTTTGAAGCGCGACGGTATTGGGCTCACACCGCAGATATTAATCCAACATCTGGCGGAGGAGGTGACGGTGCAGACTGCGATTATAAAGGAGAAGCTCCCGTCCGAGTTAAACGCGAAGAAAAATCGAATGAGAGCCTTGTCGGTAGTCAAGGAATATTCTTACTTGGGCCCGGATAAAATTATAGGCATGAGGAACGAACTGGATGCTATACTGAAAGACATACAAGATTTGGTGGAGTCTAAAGTGCGTACCCTAATGGGAAATATTTTGCTGAAACACTCTTTTGCAATTGACCCTATTTCATTTAATATATATATATTAATTTAATATATTATAATAAACGTAATTTTCAGTTTAATTCAGTAAATTTCACGTTGTCTATCTCAAAAATTTTTTTATTACTTTTCAGAATTATACTTTAATTTTCATTTTTTCGCATATTTCGCACAGTATTATATTGAATTTAATTATGAAAATTATGACTTATTTTGAAATATTTATTATTATATGTTTCAACAATTTTTCAGTAATCTTCATTTTATTGTTCATCAAGTTTATAGTATTCGAATATAAAGAAAGTTAAAATATATTGTTGAAATTGATCAAATTTAACTGAAAACTGCATACATTGATAGAATGATAATGAAATGGGGTCAATTGAGAGAATTTCAATAAAATTTTCAGCATAATATTTCCATCAGGAATAATTATGAACACGTTGACTGAATGATTCACGTGAGATGTGTTCTTTTGAAGATCTTATATCTTAAGATCGTCGTTTGTAAATTTTCACGGTATATATTCCAGATATCTAAAAACGACATAGACAAGATGGAACCGTTCAGGCAACAAGCGGCCGCTGTTGGGAATATGAAACGAAACGCTCTCGAACGTTTGGAGAAGGTCGAGAGTTCTCTGGAGGAATTACAATTGCGTCTGAAAGAGAAGCAAGATCATTCGAGGGCTCTGTTAGAAACGTCGGCACCCAGAGCGGAGGAATTGAAGAAATATGTTAATCGTTTGAAAACCAAAAGTACCCTGTATAAACGTTGCAAAGCGGAGATTGCTAGCCTGAAAGCGGAAGGTGGTGTGCTGCATCGTACTGTAGCTATTCTAGAGGGACAGGTATTATTGAGATCTTCAGTATGAGCGCGTTTGATGACTCGTGTATCCCTTCGAAGTGTATTTATATGTATATAAAAATTATATAGAAAATTTATAATATTAGAATGTGGTGGGAGATGTGGTTAGAAATGTGGAGGAATAAATCCCTTTCTTAGCAAAAAAATTGAATAAATAAATAAATAAATAATATATTATTTATACTATATAATATTAATATTATTTATACTATAATATATTATATGTATATATATATATATATATATATACATATAATATATTTATTTATTTATTGTGTGTGTGTGTGTGTGTGTATATATATATACACACATATATAAGTAAATATATATTTATGTCTTTATTTATTTAACTTTTTAACCAAAAAGAAAACTTGCTTTACAATTTTGACTTAAGCACACTCATTCTTCCACACGTTAATAGTGTATAAATTTTCTGTATATTCTCTATATCACACATCTTTAAATTATTATTCTTGCACATTTATATAGCCTTTTACATAATAAACTTTTTTTTACCTATAGTTTAATTATACACTCTTTCATTTTTATACATTTTCCCTATTACTACTGATACATTTATGATTTACTTACTTATTCTCCTAATGATATATTTATGCCTTCAAAATAGATTAACATAAATGCGATCATTTCAGATAGCTCAGTCTTATCAGGCGGATATTGTATCAAAAGTAGTAATTCCGGAAAATTATACACTGGACAATGCGTTAACGACAAACTCTCAATTGTCTCATTCAATATTGGCCCTCCGTACCAATCTTTCCCCTATCATAAGAGGTAACAACGAAGTCGCTTGAAATGGAAGTCTATTCACGGTCAATTTATAATCGAACTCTATTACGGGCCGCTCATTTTTTCTTTAAACCTCCGAGACCGAATAAAATTTGAAAATAGATAAAAAGTCCAAAACGGACTTTATTTTTAATTCGCGGAAACGCGCAAAAATGTGCACACGTTCTATAATATGTTAATAGGATCGAATACATGACATATATTTCGCAGAATATTGATGGCATTTTTTAAAAAAATTTAGATATTAAGGTATTACGGCAGACAGCGCGTGAAACGGACGAGAGGTATCAGAAGGCATCCAAAAGCCACAACACGGTAGAAACGACTATGAAAAATACGACGAGTGATCTGTTATCCGAAACGAAACGACTGAAGGATAAGTTATTGCAGGTAATTTGCACATCGAAGGATAAGTCCATGATGCGTATAATGCCGAGTGTTATATTGCAGGATACCGAAGATAAAAAGCAATTCGAAGAAAGTATCGCAAAAATGAAAATTACCGAGGAGAAATTACGTAGCGAAGCAAAGGTAGATGTTAGACTTAGACAGCAATATCAATAGTTATCCTTAATAAAACTTATCGATGATCTGATTTTAGATTAGCAGCGGTAGTTTTAACAGCGTAGGACAAACATTAAAACAGGAATTGCGTAAGACAATCGTGTCGGAAGAAAAAACATTGAAAAATTTGAACAAGGAGCGAGAGAAAATAAGAGAACATACTATACAGTACGAAAGTCAAACGCAACAATGGAATAATATTATATCGTAAGTAAAACATTCAGCAGATATTTTACTACAACAAAACTAATAAAAATAATAGCATAAGGTGAAAAAAATAATAGAAAATCTTTCAATAGTCTTTGGTGAATATTAATAAAAATATATTTATATTCTAGTATCTTTTCATGTAAGATTCAATGTGCTGAAGAGAGTAAACAGACCGATGGCATAGTTGTACGAAGAGGAGGTGCTGAAACTCTTGTATTGCAATAATGTTACAATGATTAATTACACGCATATTTTTAGCAAGATCTTTTCACACATATTTTAATAGAAGCAAACACTGGTCGTAGTTATATATTTTAAATGTGAAACAAAATAAAACATGCAGGAAATACATTGAACTGCAGGTAGCAGGAGATTGTGTCTTATTAGTATATACTACTAGTATAGTATCTACTTGTGTATCTCCATAATCTTAAAAACAAATTTAAAAAACAGGAAATTACAAAACATCTCTAATTTTAGTTTTATTAAAGGTCATCTCTCAACTTTGATACTATCTTTCTTTTTCTTTAGTATTCTCATATAGGATAAGTGTTAACAAATAGTAAGACGGTTAAACAGACACATTGACGAAATATTTTAAATATTTTTTTATGTACAATTTCGTTTCAATTTTTTAGAGAGTCCATACGTTTAATATCTTTTTTATCTTGCTTTCACAATGAATCCTGAGATGTCCTTCGAGAAATTAACAGAACTGAATTCAAGATCGAGAAATGACATCATCCTGCTGTCATGGTCGTTTAAGCGTCAAGCCTGTCAGAGCCTGGAATCATGTTACTTATGTATGAGTAGGAGAGGCCAGGGGAAAGTAAACTGATCGCCTCGAGGCAGTTAAATCGTAGACAGGAACGTAGTCTTATTTCACACGCGAACCACATAACACGTTCACGCATCGCCAGCTCCAGAATCGGGTGAAATCGCAAATTAGCAAAATATATTTCATTTAACAAGGACCAATCTGGACACAACATTTCTCAGTGTTGACAATAAATCATGACAGCGAAAAATCGATATTTTGTCATCTTCGCGATTTCGCTGTCACTCTTTATCGGTAAGTTTTTTTTGTCACTTGTGGCAGTGCTTTTTGTTAATTCTTTAAGATTTCTTTATCATAACGAAGATACATCCCGAAAAACAGAATATGACGTAGTAAAGAGGAAAACCGAGAAATATTTCATCATGCGTCATGGATCACATATTGCATGTGAAATGGAAGTTTTTAATGTATGTAAATTATAGTGAAATCTCATTCTCGAAGTTGGAAACTTTATGTACATAAAGAATGATGCAAAATTAAATTTCCTCCTAATATAGATAAATTTTAAAATGGACAAATATTCTCCTAAAGAAAGTATTGTCATGAAAATTTAAATGATTATTGTAAATAATATTTATAATGTCCGATGATAGTGGAATAAATGTAGAGAATGCTTTCTTTGGAAATTTTTATAAATCTTATAAGCAACAAACGCTTAAAGGAAACATTAGATCATTTGAAATACAAGATATATTATTAAAGTGACCAGATTACTTCGATATCTCAAATGACCATTTTGACCCGATCATTGCGAGTGAACGTGATAAATAACGTTGAAAGTATAAACTGACCAAGATTTCTTATTTCATGTATCCTCAAGCTTCATAAAGCTTTTTTTTCCAGATGATCATATTAAAATATTTGAGACATCGATAACACGTCATACATGCACTGAATTGTAATCTTGTTTATAAGATTTCGCTGATTTCAATTTATATCTTAGGAAATATCGAAGCGGGATGGAAGTTTTGGAAAAAGGAGACTACTACTACTACCACCACGACACCAACTCCCGAAAATGTTCAACTCACTCCATCTCCGACACCGGAATTAACTAGGCCGCAGGCCACGACGGCCAAAGGGTCAACAGTACCTGCTGTAAACACGGGAGGCGCTATAATAGGTATTAATAATGAAGATATCAAATTATTTTGTATATATATGACAATAATCTCGTACCGTTTTAATTATTCAAAATCAAAAGTCCTTGAGAGTTTTGAATGTTTTTGGGAACTCTGATGGAAATATTTTTCTGAAAATATAATGAAATTTTACCGAAATATATTCCGAATTATCTTTCAATTCACCCAATTTCATTATTATTCCTTCAATATTTTAATAAAAATCCAGTTTTCAATTAAATTCATGTAAATTTCATGATATTTAATATTTTAAAAAATTGGTTATTATTTTTCAACAGTATAATTTAATTTTACTTATTTCCTTATTTTACATTACATTAAATTTTATAAGGATTATGATTCATTTTGAAATATATTCAATAATTTTTCAATAATTTTCATTTTACTTTTTATCAATTTCATAGTACTCTGGTAATATATTTTCATCAGAGAAGTCTTGCAAATCAGCTATTGTCATAATAATCCACATCTACATCTCATATCCTTATGTTCATCTCTCATAAAATATGAAGAGAAATCCAAACCATTCACAAAATCTTATCAAGATCTCATAGAGAACAATCAATTTTGATTGATATCTAATTTTCATATGATATCGATATCTTCATCTTAAATAATAAATTATTTGAGAATTTTTCAAACAAAGATACGAACTTTCACTATTACCAGGTGCTGCTAATCCGGGACTAGCTATCGGCGCGGGAACTACCGGACAAAATGTACCAAACAACGTACGACCCGGTCGACCTAATCCTGGAACAGAGGTCGGCCAGCACGTCGCCCTTCCAAAGCTAAATAGACCGGCAGCCGATGGCGGCCAGAATTATCGAAATTGGGCTGCAGATCTTACTGGAGCTGGAGAACCGCCCCGAAATCAGCCATCGAGAATACCTATTCAAGGACCTCAAGGACCTCAAGGACCTCAACCACCTCAAGGACCTCAAAGACCTCAAGAACCAATAAGTGGTGGCCAGACACAGCCCAATTTACCATCTACAGACTCAAGGCCGCAGCCAAAAACGAGTCAACCTGCGGCTCCTAACCGGATACCAGGAAACATACCGACCCAACCGACTCAACCGTCGTCCACAGGTCTATATTATTTGATTTGAAAAATTGCCATAATGCCAAAGCTCTTCATTATAAATATGTAGTTTTAAAGTTTCGGACAAAATTGTTTTTTTCTTCATTTTCCCATTTTTGGGGGTTTTTTGACTTCCTATCTTTTTTATGGAAAAAAAAGTATGGCAGGATTTTAATAGAACACACGTGGATTTTTCTAAATGAATGTACTATTAAGACAGAAACTGAAGAAAAATTGGAAAAAAATTTTTTTCTGATATTTTAAAGCTATACACAAATGTTACTGAAATGAACACAATGAAATTCCGTAGGTCCAAGACCAGGAAGCATGCTCGGGATTGCCGTGCAGCCTACACGGCCTCAGGTAACGCCTGGTAAGCTCTTTTCATATACACGTTAAGTTAGTACAATCGATCACGGGACGGTTGCAACAGTTTTTTTTTACATGTTTTGGAATACACAAAAAATATGACGAAGCGAACTTGATTTACAAATATGCACAATAAATAGTCAGCTGTTAAAATTACACATATACATATAATTTTGACATGTACATGCAATGGCGGACATATACTTACGTACAGTTAGCAAAATTAAATTTTATTCGTTGTGTATTTATATATGAAATAGTTAAAGAAAAGTCCATTACGTTTTCCACAAGTTTATAGCATATATTATGAGATAATAAAACAGTGTTTATCATATACTTACGTACACTGTGATAATACACAGATAGGTCAAAATTTTTGCAATATAAACAGTACTTATCAGTATCTACCGAATAATGTAGATAGAGAGACGTGTTGTAACAGTATTGTGATGAGCAAACGAAAGAATATAACGCCAGAACAATGTCGGCAAATGCAGCTTCGGAAAAATGGGAAGATTTCTACAGAGTTTTGGATATCTGTTATGGCTTGTTATCAAGCTATGCAACATATTAAACGTCATGGAACCCCAGATAATGTTCCTCGTAAAAAGAAACCACGAAAAACCGACATAAGAACTGATCGTAAGATTCATCGATTATCTGAATTAGATAGATTTAAAACTGCAGTTGATATTCACGTTGAAATATTATCAGATCTTGATAAAAATATAAGTGTTAGAACTGTCTGACGTAGATTGAATGAATTTCAATTACATGGACACGTGGAGATTGAATGAATTTCAATTATATGGACGCGTGGAAAAAGAAACCATTCATATCAGAAAAGAATCGCCGAGCTATAATCGCTTTTGCAAAAGAACATTTAAACTGGACGCAACAACAATGGTCTAGAGCTATTTTTACTGATGAATCTAAGTTTAATCGATTCGGATCTGATGGCAAAGTACATATAAAACGTCGCGTAAGTGAAAAATATCGCAAGAATTGTATAAAACTAACTGGAAAAGGGGGTGGTGGGTCAGTAATCGTATGGGGTTCTATGATTATTAATGGTACAGATCCTATTCATCGAATAGAAAAAATCATGGACAGATTTACGTACTTGAACATCGTAGAAAATGTACTGCTGGAAAATGTATTTGCTAAAGATTATATGCCGGAAGAATGGATCTATCAAGCAGATAATGACCCGATGACACATCGCACGCGTCGTCATAACATTTTTAAATGACCGTAATATCAATGTAATGAAATGGCCAGCACAATCTTCGAATCTGAACCCAATAGAAATGCTATGGATCGATGTGGACAAATATGTAAAATAGCGGAAGCCGAAGAATATTGAGGAACCGTACGTTATGATAGCAGAAACTTGGAATTTCATATCTGTTAATCGGTGCAACCGGCTTATCGAATCTATGCCACAAAGGTGTGCCGCAGTTCTTAGGAACAAGGGTCTAGCTATCAAATATTAACATATTATAGTAATAAGTCAAAGAAACTTGTTAAAATATTCGTGTTCTTATATGTACGTAAGTACGTGTCCGCAGAAAATTTGACATTTGAGTAAACAAACAAGAAACTTATTAGTTATAGTAAATTTATAAACCCTGTTTTGCTATTTTATAATATACGCTATAAACTTGTTAAAAACGTAATGGACTTTTGTTTAACTATTTCATATATAAGTACACAACAATTAAAATTTAATTTTGCTAACTGTACGTAAGTATATGTCCGCCACTGTATGCAATTTTGACAGCTGTCTGACCATCTACCACGCATGTTCGTGAATCATAGGTACGCTTCCTTGTATTGTTTATGTGTTCTGAAATATGTGAGAAAAACTGTTGCAACCGTTCTGTAACCGACTGTACTGCTATGAATCTCGAAAAATCAAACGTAGTCTGATCTAATATCTCTCTTAGACCCTATCGCTGCGATTTCCGGTGATCGAAGCAGACCGGGCACACCGACCTCTTCTATTTCGGGAGCATCGTGGCCCGACGTTGCTGGCGGTGATAGTAGATCCGCTTCGCTTACAGGATCGCCGAGACAACCTGATTATCCTAGACAACCGAATGTGGATGCATCGGGTATGTTTAACACCTTCATCATTTTCTTCTGACCGGCTATATATAGCTAGTACAAGCAACAAGTATCTTATTGTCTTAATAGCCACATATGTAATTTAGAATTTTATTGATCTCGAAACATAGAATGTCTTTTACCAAATTCATATCAAACTAATCAATGAATAATAATAAGAATTGCCAACATTGATTTTCATTTTTTCAATTTGTCGCTCAACAACAATCGAAAGTTAATCATTTCTATCTGTATTAGCAAGATAGAGCAGGTAATATTTAAAAGAGAGAAAGAGAGACTGACAGTCATTTTAAATCGTCGATTAATCAGAGTTTAGTGACACTCATCCACAAAATCGATCGATTAAATTGATTTAGCGCAATGAGAGGATTGACTATCTTTGTGTTTGAATCAGGCTTAAATTCTGTAGGTGCCGGCGGAACAAATCAGAACAGACCGAGTACACCATCCCCGAGCCCAGGAAAATCGTGGGCCGACGTTACCGCCGGTGGTAGTAGACCTTCTTCGCCTACAGGACTCCCTAGGCAACCCGCTCCAGGTATTTCTTTTCATGTTGTCTACCGTAAAGTTGTCTAACGCATACTCTCGAGCAATCATCGCTTTGCTTCGTCTTCTCTTTCTCGAGATAAATAAAGAGATGAAATGTCGCTGGCGAATGTGCATTAAACAGTATATTAATCGGTGAAAGCAGCTTAACAACGGAGAGAAATTTAGTATCTCATTGGAATTAGGTGGTGAGAATGATCGCAGAACCATAGGAAGACCGGCTCAACCTGACGATTCTCGGCCGCCATCTCCGGGAGTCGCTTCTCCCGGCACTTCCGCCACGAGTACTGTGGATCCAAATAAAAATAAAAAAGTGTACTCCAGCAATCCAACGTACAGTAGAGGGAACACGGTTACTGACGAGGACTTGGAGAAGCTTTCCGAGGCGCTTTATATTAAAGAGACGAATAATGCGAATCGATACATAACACTTAATGTGCAAAAGCCGACCACCAGCAGTAGCCCGATAGACCAAGCTCCACAGCCGTAAGAATCATTCTTAACCCTTCGTTAGCACATTTATATTTATTTATTGCTGCTTAGTTTGACATACCAGGTCTATGAAACCTAAAAACTTTTTCGATATGCCTTAGTTAGACGTACTTAAATATCTATAAATATGCTTCTCCAATATACAGATATCATAGATTTGAGTGTATAAAAGGTAAATTTGAGAAATTTGTCACGATCATTATTATTTTTTAAATAGATGAAAAATATATAGATTGATAGATTGATATATAGATAGTCAATATATAGAGATATATAGATAAGACAAGTCAATATATCGTGATTTTACATACAGGAAAAAGTAAACAAATTTTACGTGCGTTAAGGAAAGAATTTTATGTTTGTGTAGAAAAATTCAAGATTTATAATATCTTTACACCTTTTCGCTTGGGTCAGTTTGACCCATGAGTACCAAACTAAGGTTAATAATCTTATCTTATAATCGTATTTTAAACGAAATTTTATCTTTATGACTTTGTCAACGTGTCGATGAACTAATCGGACATTGTATATTCGCAGGTTGCTCACGGTGAGCCCCGAAGCGTTGCAGATTCCTACGGTTCAGAGGGTCCTATCCATATTTGACAATTATCAATTGGACACTCACACGAACGAGTATATTAGTCCAGCGCAAAGACAAGAGGAGAGTCTCCTTGTCGATACCTTCTTAAGTACTAACGTGATGGCCACAGCGATGCGTTTCCTTGCCGACAAGAGTTTCATCAGGCAGGATTATTATGAGTACAAAGACACATTGAGGAGAATCTGGTTCAATTTGTTCTCACGTGGACAAGGTAAGATCGGTAGTACCGGATTCGAGCACGTCTTCATGGCGGAGACGAGACAAACGGATTCAAATACGGAGGTACTTGGTCTGCACAACTGGATCTACTTCAACGCGGAAGAAATGAAGAGACACGTCGACTATTTAGGTTACATCAACAAAGTCGATTTAGGAAACGTAAGTGGTTTTTCCATAAATGAAACTTAAGGAGGTTGTAAGGTTCAGTATCGCATTTTCAGTGGCATATTAAAGAGGCCAGTCATAAATTTATAATAATAAAATAATAATATTATTAATTTAACAATAATAATTTTTAAAATAATAATAATAATTTAGTATTTATCAAGCAAAATTACGTTCCTATACATTTATTTCATTATCTAAATAGTAAATGGTAATTTGAACCGAAGTTGAGGTAAATATATATATACAATATTACCAATATCAAAATATTATTTCTTATTTTTCTTATTAATGCTATATTTATGTATCAATTGATCTATAGTAGAGATGCACAGGTAATAGAGGTATGCAGGGTGGGACATTTAAATTGAGACATTTTAATATAAGAAAAATAAAGCAAAATAGAAAGAAAATATTTCAGACAAGTTATAGGGTTTGGAGGGAGACATATTTTGGTGACTTCAACTTCGTCAACTTGTACTAAAAAAAAACTATATAATTCCACTAAAAAAAATGAAGCTGACCTTAAAATGACCTGAATTATTGACATTATTGACAACGATATTAAGGTTACCAAAATATGTCCCCTTCCAAACCATACAACTTTTGTCTGAAACATTGTTTTATTTTTGTTATATTAAGGTGTCTCAACTTTCTATTTTGTTTTATTTTTGTTATATTAATTAAAGTGTCTCGACTTAACACATTGTTGACTGGTCACGAGTTAACTCGTGTCTTTCTGCTCAAACGTTGCTGACCGGTCACGAGTAAACTCGTGATCGATGCGCTTTTGTTTCGGATCGATTACGAGTTGGGTCAGTACGTTCTCGGAGATCATACAGTGTAATTGTTGTCCAGCATATCACAAGCTGTGTCTTTCGCTAATAAAACCTGTCAAGTTGTGTCCCTTTTGAAATAAAAAAAATTTTAATAAATTCTAAGTAAAATTGCCGGTCAGCAATGTGTCAAAAAAGTACTAGGAACTTTGGTTTAAAATTGATTTTTAAATAAAAATGTTATGATAATTATTAAAAAACAATTTTTTTAATAATACCTGAAATGCATCCTAATTTACAATTTTTAAAAAATTCGTAAAACGTATTTTCAAGTAAAAAAAAGTTACGATAATTATTAACCCTTTGCACTCGAAGGCTCCAGAGCGGAGCCATTTAAAATTTGTCTTCAAACTCAAATGCAAATAGCAAGAGCGGAATATCCTGTACACAATAGTTTTTACGATTTGTTCTTATGTTATGAACTGAAAGTTATTTGCATTTGTCTCCATAGCGGAGCCCTCGAGTTTGGAGACAAATTTTAAATGGCTCCGCTCCGGAGCCCTCGAGTGCAAAGGGTTAAAAAACATAATTTTTTGTTTCAATAATACCTAAAATGCGTCCTATTTTACAATTTCTGAAAGTTTAACAAATTGCTTCATCAATAAAAATGTTATGACGATTTTAGTAACGTGCAAGTTTGCCCAAAAACGTGCGGCCCCAGGCGTATGTCTTACAGATTTCTTAGCGGTCCGCAATGTGTTAAATTTAAATGTCCCATCCTGTATTAGTGTCTAAACATGTGCATATGTGTATATATTTCGAGTATTATTATAAATTATGAATTTTACGTTGCTGAATTTTCAAAACAAAATAGTTCTGAAATTTAATCATGTGCATCTATCTTCCTGCATTTATCTTTCATTTTAGTTTTTAACATTATTGTAGTTTTCCATCTAAAAATCTTATTTTTATTTTAGAAGATATTAAAAATAAAAATTAAAAATAGCACGTTAATCCCTCAAGGAACACGTATAAAAAGTATCAATTTTAGTTACAAATATATCAACTCTCGAATGGTCAATTTTTTCTTAATTGCACGAGTTAGATAATATTTCAACGTGTACGTAGTGTAAGTTACATCGAATTCTTATTAAACTCATTTCACCTTGCAACCTCCTTAAATTGAACAGAATTCACTTTAATTACGTCCGGCGGCGATTTAAATTTAAAGAGAGACGAATGCACAAACGTAAGTGCGTTTTTTGTTCCGTAGAAAGGGTCCATCGTTAAGGTACACGCAAAATTCAATGGCCACGACAAACCGGTTACGGCGCTGTTCGTCGGTACGTCGCCGGAATTGGAAATGGCGCTCTACACTGTCTGCTTCTACGTGAGACCGGACGGGAAATGCCCAGTGTCTTTGGGAGGAACCAAATTCAACATAGTGACGTACAGATTTCGATACAGAGGAAAGGACTTGGTCGGAACAGCGTATCCGGAAATTTGAATTCCACATAAAATACATTGACCAAATCGCATTTCTTACATGCCTTATAATAAATAAAATAAAACGGACCTTTAAAACGCTAATCGCAATTTTTGCGGAAGGATGTAAATGTTTAATATGTAATAACAGTTTTACATAATCCCACAAAAATAAAAAATAATATGTCGCTATAATAGTCGCGATTAAACTTTTAAAGGTCCGTTATATCTCTCTATATTTAGTACTCATAAAGTTAATGTAAATATAAATTTAAATGAAATAAAATCTATATGATTGTGTAGGCTGTATTAATCACAGAATGACCGCCCGATAGTTTCCGTCACTCCGATCAATCTTCTTTAATTTTAGAAGTCGGCAACAAATGTTCACTTATAAAATTATTCTCATAATTGTTTCACTCGATATGTGACTGAATTGAATTTTAGCAACTTTTTTTTATACATCAGCCGAGCCGATGTTTAATATTTCTACATTTATTTGCGACAAAACGGTCAATGTAACGAGCAGAAATAAATTCTATACGGTTATTAGTTACGAAAAAAGATAATTGCAGAAGTGAGTTCGATAGAGAGTGTAAACAAACAGATAAGAAAACGCAATAATGATGCGTGAAAGAACACGAGAGGAGGGAGAGGTCAACTCTCTCACGCGACTAAACTGCTACGCATAGAGTTTCATTTAGATCAGTCAGTTCAGTTGTGCCGTAGCTGCCACCAACAATGTATGCGCTCGGGAAATTCGTGTTGAAGAAAAGCCCACGTTTACGACTGAGCTCATCGGTCTCTTGCACCGGCGTTAACTCGTATCACAGTGAAAATGGCGTTTATGGATACAAACCGAGACAGCAGAGGCGCTTTCAAGGTACCTATTTTATCAAGACCTCGAAAGAGAAAAAGAGAGCATAAGAAACATGCTTATATAGCAGGAGCATGATCAAAATTATCCGGGTTATTTTGTCGCAACATAGAATAAAAAAGATTCGCACAGCACCTATTTTCGTTGGGATAACTTCACATTAAAAAGAACAATGCTACTGTAAAATATTTAACGTGCTATGAATTTAAACATTTTAATTTCTTAAATTTATTATAAAATTAAATTTAACTTTTTTAAGTTTAGATTTGTTACATTTAAATTAGTGTGTTAAGTAAAAAAATATACTATTAATAAATTTAATTGACACATTTTCTAATAGATACACTTTGTTGAAATATTTTTTTTTATATAAAATTATCCCAAAAGAGACGACATGCGCGCAAGCAGCCTCTCTATCTATTGTAAATTAGAAATCAGCAACAATGCATATTAATAACGCACGCAATGTTTACTCGTGATAAAACGATTTGCATTTCATTCGATGTTATCTGCATTCGCGACTTCACGACATAACATGCCGTTCCCGTTTTCCAGTACCAAAAGAATATCTGGATGAACGAGCGAAGCAGAGCAATTTTTACAGACTAGTCGAAGCGTATAGAACCCATGGGCACAAACAAGCCAACATAGATCCCTTGTCAATGAGCAAACCGTCCTTGCTACCCGAATTACAGCTGAGCAATTTCGGGCTGAATTTGAAGGACAAGGTCCGTTTCCGAGGAATTTTATTTACACAGCAGGACGAAGGAATAATAGAGGAGGCCGTGCGATTTCTAAGCGATACCTACTGCGATACCGTCTCAACAGAATTCAATTATCTCGAGGTAAACCTGATGGAAATATTTTGCTGAAATATTCTCTCCATTGACCCAATTTCATTATTCATTAATATACGCATTATTCATTAATATTTCAAATTCATTAATATACGCAGTTCTCAGTTTAATTCAATAAATTTCATGATATCTAATATTGAAAAAAATGTTTTATTACTTTTCAAAATTATATTTTAATTTACATTATATTTCACAACGTTACATTGAATCTCATGATGAAAATTATGATTTATTTTGAAATATTTATTACTATATATTTTATTAATTTTTCAGTAGTTTTCATCAAATTCATAGTATACCAGAGCATACTCGAATATAAGGAAGTATAATAGTATACCATAGTATATTCGAATATAAGGAAAGTTAAAGTATACTGCTAAAATTTATTGAATTTAACTGAAAACTGCCGTTGACATTGACAGAATGATAATGAAATGGGGTCAATTGAGAGAGAATTTCAATAAAATTTTCAGCATAGTATTTCCATCGGGGAATTCTACATTTGTAGAGTTGTTGTACAGAATTAGAGATCGTTAGGATCATGAATCCGATCGAAATCATCATTAAAGCCAATTTCTTCTATGATATAAGTTCACATTATCAATCGTAATATCGCGGCTCAATACATAATGATAAGAGCGATGATAAGAGATTATATTTACGATCGAGTAGACTGAAGAAGAGCGGGAATGGTTCGCCGAAACCGTAGAGAGAACCTTAACCGAGCCATTGGATGACGAAACACGCAAAATGATAGCTGTGGAGATGCTCAAGAGCCAAGCCTTCGACAATTTTCTGGCTATAAAATTTGTAAGCCTAAAGAGGTACGGAGGAGAAGGAGCTGAGAGTATGATGGCTTTCTTTCATGAATTTTTCAAGCTATGCGCCTCCGGTAATTAAAAACAAACACTCAATTAAATTAGATAATCGATGATTCGTCGTTCAATAATCCGACACAAAACGATTACACGACTTTTAACGAGAACACCACGCTCTAAGTCTACAATAGATGCAATTAAATCTTTCGCCTTTTGCCCTAAATGACAAAATGTAAATGTAACGTAATTTCTGACAAAAAGTATTTCCCAAACTGTCAAAAGTCATAATAACGTATAAATTTTGGGAATTACTACTTTTGTGAAGTTTCTCCGATTTTTTCAAAATTTGAGAAAAGTGAGTCGAATTCTAGTGGCTCTTTAGAAAGTTTTAGAGTTTTCTAGTTTTTAATCGAATTTAAAGTAAACTTTGACCATAACGGATCCAGCCCCGATGACCCTAATCTTCATATATATGATAGAGGTCACCCTTTTGAATCTCTAAAAGATTTTAGACGTCGCTCATTGTTTATTAAAAAATTATGTACAAAGGAAGTTTGAAAAATATGACATTATTTATGACTTTACAAAAAATTATACCGGAATAAAAATTAAACCGAATCTACAAAAGATGTAGCCTTTAGCCTTTTGCCCTCTAAGCCTTCAGTCCTCTAAGCACTAAATCATGACATAATTTTTAACAAAAAAGCATTTTCAGCGCTATCAGACATCGCAATTCCTAAGATTTAAGCGTTTTTATGACTTTCGACAGCACAGGAAACGCCTTTTGTCAGAAATTACGTTATATATTATCGCTTAGAGCAAAAAGTTCAAAGATCACTATACTTATCATAGATCCAACCTAACGTTCTTAACTCCGTGACTTCGACTGGAATTTCAATTAATTCTTTTTTTAGGTAGTTGCTTCATAGAGTGTCAGATTTTCTGTAGCAATATTTAGGGACTTCTTCATAAGTTTATTATTTACTGAGAAAGACTTTCCTATAACTTTATTTAACTATCTAAATAATAAATGTTAATTTTAAGCGCAAAATAAGATAAATAACATAACCAACACGAAGATATTATTTACTTTTTATTTTTCTTATTAATGCTTTACCTATACTTATCGATTGAGTTAATATCGGACATACATAAAAGAAAGTGATATGTAAATATTTAAATATGTACATGGAAAAAAAGTGCTAGATTCAAGTAAATAATTATTTCAATACTTCTTTTTTACTTGCATAAATACTTGCATAAATAACTTAAATAAATTTTATTTGAATCGAATAAATACTTTACCAGAATAATTTAGTTGGAAAATATTTTACTTGGACTAAATAAATGTTACTTTAACTTAATTTTCCATTAACATCAAGGAACATATATGTAAAAAGCATCATATTCAGTTGCGAATAGCTTCCGAGTGATCGGTTGTTTTCTAACTTAACAGATAGTGTAGATAGTATTTCCATCGACATGTAGTTAAAGTAAAAAAGTTCCTAAGAAAATAGTCTGACGGACCAGCTATCTTAATTTCTATGTTCTATTTCTATCGACAACATTTATGGGGCGTGAAGCAATTCTTTTAACTATTATATTATTATTTCAGACGATTTGAAGCACATCATCCTGTGTGCGGCGCATCGGGGGCGGCTAAATTTATTGACGGGGCTGCTGAAGTTTCCGCCGGAAAAGCTATTCCGCAAATTACGCGGACTTTCCGAGTTCCCGGACATGACGAGATGTACCGGAGACGTGGTCAGTCATCTCATTAGCTCCACCGATCTCGACATAGACGGGAAGAGCGTTCACTTCACTATGCTGCGCAATCCATCGCACTTGGAGATAGTAAACCCAGTATCGATGGGAAAAACGCGAGGTGTTATGCAGACGATCGGGGAAGACGCATACGGTCAGGACGGGAGCTCACGATGGAGCGACAGAGTGATAAACGTCCAAGTAAGTCGCAGCATCGCGCACCGCGGGAAATGTCTTCGTCGAAAGATCGGTCTATACGTGAAAAAAATTAGTATCGATTCAAGTTTGTATCTCATATATCCAGACAGCCAAATGACGTCGGAGGACAGCATATTGACGACATATAGATGTCATATTGCCGTCAATATCCCGCCCTCCGGCGTCATTTTCTCATAACAGTTATTCTTGAGTGATAAGAATGATATTTTTAGTGAAACTATGTAAAGACTTTCTTCATATATAGGAGCAATTTTTGCATGTATGTATAGACTTTCTTCATGTATAGGAGCAATTTTTATCTTCCTATAAGATTATATATTCTTATTTATACATGAGAATGTGAATTTTGAATTGATACTAATTTTTTCCCCGTGTATTGATTTCACTAGTTCTTCTGTACTGTCACCGTATCTTCTTGCTCGGTTCCAATGTGCATCTGTATCATTATTCCAATATCTAGAATGTTTTGTTAGGTACATGGAGACGCCGCCTATACCGGACAGGGGGTTAATCAGGAATGTTTAGCTATAAGCAAAGTACCGCACTTCGAGATCGGCGGTACGATTCACCTGATGATCAACAATCAAGTAGGCTTTACAACTCCGCCTTCGAAAGGCCGATCGTCGAGATACTGCACGGATTTGGCCAAGAGTATATCCGCACCTGTGATTCACGTGAATGGCGACAATCCCGAGGTACAAATCTCGCTTGAATCTTTCATCTCGCTGGTATTAGGAACAAAAATCCTCAATTATAATATGGAATGTCGTAGATGGTCGTTCGAGCTACGAGGATAGCCTTTAAGTATCAGAGACTATTCAGGAAAGACGTTTTCGTCGATCTAAACTGCTTCAGAAGATGGGGTCATAACGAACTGGATGATCCCCTTATGACTAATCCCCTTATATACAAGATTATACACAATCGACCGTAAGTATATATCTGTAACTAAGAAGAGAGAGGAACTAACGTATATATTTTCAACCTTTCTACATACGAAGGTTAGTCAATAATTATTTGCATGTGTATTATAAATTTGCATAAATTGACAGTATATTTTTGTCTGAGGAAATAAAGGAACTCGTGTCACATTATGACTAAGTGCATTGAAAATCAAGATCATATATTGAAAAATAAAATGTTTATAAATTTTGTACAATTCTTATACTAAATTTTACAAATGGAGTACGGATAATGATTGACTTACTCTCGTGAATATAAATGTTTCTTCCATACCGAATTTACATTTTTTCTCAATTCAGATCTATACCGGATCGATATGCGGAAGAGCTAATAAATGCTAACATTCTTACTCGAGAAAATGTTCGAAATTCCGTTGAAAACTACACGGCCTGGTTAAACAGGATCCTGAAGGAATCCACAGAGGAAGCGCCGCGACAAAGAGACTACCTCACTGGGAGGTGGACGGGAATAAAACAGGCCGAGGCTAACGTGACGCAGTGGAACACGGGTGTTGAGTTAAGCTTGTTGAAATTTGTAGGAAAGAAGAGCGTTGAAGTGCCGGCGGACTTGGTAAGAATAAACGCACGCTCCAGAAATATCGTGTATAACCTTGAGAGATAAAATCTATACTTGCATATTATATTAAAGGACATTTATCCGCAAGTGTTGAAAAGCCACGTTCAGAGTCGCCTGAAAAAGATCGAGAACGGCAACGCTTTGGATTGGTCGACCGCCGAGGCGTTAGCTATCGGTTCTCTGTTGTATCAAGGATACAACGTGAGGATAAGCGGACAGGACGTAGGACGCGGCACCTTTGCGCACAGGCACGCGATAATCGTTGATCAATCCACGGAAGGTGTATCACCATCATTAGCCACCTCAACACGACGAAATGAGTACACAGAAAAAATATTAGTATCAATTCAAGATTCATTCTCATATATATGCAAGAGTATATATAATATAATCTTACGTGAAGATGAAACTTACTCTTATACGAAGAAATTCAATATAGTTTCACTAAAGATATATTCGTTATTCAAAAATAATTTGCATGAGATGAGAGGAAAAAATATTACATAGAAAGAAAAGATATAAAGAACGAGTTCTTCGAACTGAGAATTGAAAATATCGCTCTTCCCATATCCAATTTTTCCTCTTAATTCATAAAAATTATTTTTGAAAATGACAAAAATATGATATTTTTAGTAAAACTATAGCATTTCTTCTTGTATAAAAATAATTGTTACCTTATATAAAATATAAGAATATAAGTAATTTTTATTTTTGTATAAGATTATATATTCTTGCTTATATATTCTTGAGAATAACAAGAATATGATATTTTTAATGAAACTATATAGAATTTCTTCATATATGAAAGCAATTTTTGTCTTCATATAAAATTATGCATTCTTCTATATTCTTGCTTATATATATAAGAATATGAGCCTTGAATTTATACTAATTTGTTTTCTGTGTACATGCAATGTTTGGAAGACTTACAAATCACGTCAATTTTTTAGCTCCATTTATTCCGTTGAATTTCATGATTAATGACCAAACCGGCAAATTGGAGGTAGCTAATAGTATTCTATCCGAGGAAGCTGTGTTGGGTTTTGAATACGGTATGAGCATATCGTCGCCTTACACGCTGCCCATCTGGGAAGCTCAATTCGGCGACTTCTTTAACGGGGCACAAATCGTAATCGACACGTATATAACCAATGGAGAAGCAAAATGGATGTTGAGCAGCGGTCTGACGATGCTTTTACCGCACGGATACGACGGCGCCGGTCCGGAACACAGTTCATGCAGACTCGAGAGATTCCTACAGTTAACGAATAGCAAGGAGAATGAAGCCGATAGCGATGACGTTAATATGGAAATTGCGAATCCCACTGAACCGGCACAATATTTCCATTTGTTGAGAAAGCAGGTGAGGAATGACGAAACGCATAATTGAAGAGAAAACTGGAAAGAAAATATCTTGGAACAGGTATGTTGCACTATATGCGTTTTAATCGGAACGATCTTGTGATTTTGCAGATGGTGAGAGATTATCGGAAACCTCTGATCTTGATAGGACCTAAAATTTTACTGCGTCATTCGCAGGCGGTGTCATCTATGACACATTTTGAACCTCAGACAAGCTTCAAAACTGTTATTGGTACGTGTGTGGTCTTTCTTTCTCCTCCAAAGCGAAACAACTAACAAATATCAAAACTGTTATATTAAGTATGAAATCAAGTATATATATATATATATATATATACTTAATATGATATATATATATCAAATACTAAATATTAAACTCCTAAGAATCATAATTCTTACTTGAACTTTATAGGAGACGATAAAGTGAAAAGTGACGACGTAAACAAAGTCATTCTAGTCAGCGGAAAACACTATTATGCACTTAAAGATTATAGAGAAAGTACGGAAAACAAGAATGTAGCTATCGTTAGAATCGAAAGCCTTTGCCCGTTCCCTATCCAGGAATTATTAGAAGAGATTGAGAAGTACAAGCATGCAAGAAGTAAGTAAAGAAAAAAATCGTTTAATACAATCGAGTTACATGATGATACAATATTGCTGCATCAAGGATACAGTTGTCTCTGGATAGAAGCGTTTCGAAATAGTGTTTCATATGTTTCGTGTATTATCAGTTTTCGTTTGGAGCCAAGAAGAACCGCGGAACATGGGCGCGTGGAGCTTTGTTAAGCCACGCTTTGAAAATCTGTGCGGGAGACAAGTAAGTTATACATTGTGTCGTAAACAAATATTTTACATTTGTTGACTATACTGTTTGCTTCTTTCGCCAGCATAACGGGGACTAACGGACCGTTCTTTTCAGTTGAAATACTGTGGTCGAGAAACTATGGCGGCGCCAGCTGTTGGAGATGGACAAATGCACCAACAAGAAGCTAAAGAAGTTGTTGTTAAACCGTTTGCGATGAAATAAATGTCGAGGTATACTACTTCGGTAAACCCATCACAATGCATCATCGCCTTAAATGAACCTCTACGACATTTTTCAATTTCTTGTACAGTTCAGAAGCGACGAGTGGTAAGAAAGATCTCATTTTGACTAACGATAATTTTTAACATACATTGACATATGTTTATTACTATAAACTGTCATTTATAAGGAGCAATGAAAGAAACCAACAGAACGATCATGGATTAACTGTTACGTTAATCACATTGTAAGTTTTATTATGGAATTTCAACATAGATTACCTACCTTAGAGTTTTGTCTTCTAAGAATATGTTCTTGAACAATTAACAAAAAAAATATATATATATCTGTATATATATATTGATAGGATATTGATCTCTTCCTCTTCTTAGACGGCCCTAGCAATTATCGCTTCTATTCCATCATTATAATTCATTTCTCGCCTCCACTTTCAGCACTCAAACTTTCGTGTTCTCTTTGCACAAGAGCTCGCAGTTCGTCCTGAAAGCAAACACACCAAGAAGTGCCGATTTCAATTCCTGAAAACGTAGAGGATAAGAGTGATAAGAATAAAGAAAAAAAATGCAAGTTTTACCCCCCAGCCAAGTTTGTCAGCCAGCAATTGGCAACCTGTGTCACAGTCACCCAACCAAGCTACGTCACGTCCTGAATGTGCGCTTCTAGAATCGAAGACCAAACCCTGCCGTAGTCCTAAGAAACGCGACAGACGATCCTGCATACCTACTTTCTCATTGTTGATAAGCAAACGCGGGCAATTGTTTCGTACTCTGAAAAAACAGGACGACTGTTAAAATTGTATATACGAATCCTTATTATTTCTTCTATTGCTGTAAATATTTGCACATACCTGTCTACCAGAGACGCAAAAGGCTGCACTACTAAACTTGATCCCATAATGATTAGAAGGTCAGCTTGTGCGAAATCTCGGCCAGCGAGCAAATGGAAGCGTTCAGGCAACATCTCACCGAAAAAGACTATGTCAGGTTTTACCACACCTTCTTCACACTCCTCACATTTTGGTATTACGCCTTCTATTATCTTTTCTATTATTTGAAGCCATAAAATCAATAACTTTTGTAACTACTCATTATTTTGCCTGTGTATTTCCTATTATTTCTATTCAATAGTTTGTATTTAATAAAGAATACTTAATCACTAATGTAAATACATGAAAACATAATGAAGTATATACCTTTCATCCATGGAAGTGTATACGGCGCTCGACATTTGAGACAACGACCAGTGTGAAACGTGCCATGAGCTTCCACTAATTTGTCAGCAGGTAGTCCAGCTACGCGTTCCAATGTATCAATGTTTTGTGTATAATGTCGCAGCAGCAAACCCTTCTCCCACAGTAGACGAATAAAATAATGACTTATGGTAGGTTTGAAGCCTTCCGGTAGTAGTTCTCTCGCAAGAGTAAAGAAAGGTTCTGGATTTTTCATGAAAAATTCTAATTCAAAAATAGCTTGTGGATGGGGCAAATTGTATTTGTCTAGTTTATGATATAGTCCACTAGATGGAGATCGGAAATCTGGTATTCCAGCAGCTGTAAAGAAAAATATATCATACTTATATGATCTTATACATTTGTAATAAAACAATTAAAATAATTAAGATACTTAAAAAAATCATTAAAACATAGATATGTTTTATTATAATGCAGGAAACTAAGAATAAATCCATTACATAGACCAGTTCTGTATATATATAAAATGAAATGTATTTATAAATATATACTTACAGGTAGAGATCCCAGCACCTGCCATGGTAATAATTTTACAATTTCCATGTTCTTTAATATAATCTATGACTCCATCTAAAGTAAGTTCACGAAGGGTTCCTTGTTGTGATTCATCACTTTGGTCATCTGATGAATCTATAAGTCTCAACTTTTGAGTTAGGAATTTACGTAGTCTTTCCATTCCGGAATCTTCTATGTCTGATGATTCAGGAGAGATATTTTGTTTTTCTTCATCTGAATTATCACCTAGAATAGACAAAGGAATTATACGAGACCCAAGTCGCCTAACGCACTCTGCCAATGAATTGTTCTCAACAATCGCAATGGCAATAATTAGAAGATTTGTTATTTTTACTTTTGCTCTTCTCTCCAATGTGGCTTGTGACAATTTATAAACTTCTTATACACGACACGAGCACATAATCGACATTATACTCATAATAGATGGACATTCGCTAAATAATAACTGTCGCAGTTTCGCTAAGCTAAAGTTCAATGCTGGCACTTATTTAATTAATTGATTTAATTATTATATTAACCTCGCGAAATCGGTGACCATCTTTTCCACAAGTGACACTTACATAACCTGCATAAATAAACACGTCTTATACGTATCATGACACAAAAATTCATATAAAAATGTAATATCGAGAAGAGAGATAAAGTTAGGAGGGAAATCAGATATCTATACGATCACTTTCGACATTGCGTATATATAAATTTTTTTGTTGCTTCATATGAAAGCGATTGCGGCGGAAATGATTCGCATTGTGATGTCACAAAAGCTGTAATATTAGGTATACACCACTTGAAAATTACCTTTTCGATCTTCCTCGGTCTCCTTATCCATATTCCGCAGCAACTTTATACACGAATTCGCAAATGCTGTTATGATAAAATTATCAGCGATATTTATTCACTTTATGAATGACAACATGATCCTGACGGAGAATTCATAGAACAGAACAAAGTCTGTACGCGACGTCACGATTGTATTCCGTTCTTCCGATACTATATAGATCAAATTTATGTTAAAATTCCCTTACTTCCTCACGTTATAACGCACAGTCGTACATAATTGCCTAGTTTGATATGTTGCGCATAAATATATTCGGACTACACGACGCGCTGAACTCAGCTGTGCCAGACCGAGACTGATATTCGATATAAATCGACTTATTTATCGATTTATCGATTAAATTTTTATAAAAATTGCATAGTCATCGATTATAATTAAAAAGAAAAACGAATAAAAAAGAAAGCGTAAAATACGATAAACGATGTAAATTGAAAATTTGTGTTATCACCTAAAGTTTCGGTCTTGATGAATCAAAATTTTTAGTATTTCTTCGTACAACATTAAATTCCATGTAAAATATCAATTTCTCATCAGTTCAACAATTAATTCAACGTAATGTCTACGACAAAAATTATTGATGAGGTCGATATTATTTGCGGATTAAAAGCAGCAATCACAGAGCTGGAATGGTTAGTTTAATATTATATATATTTAGTATTCTTATAATATTCGTAGTTCTTCTCTCCGAGAATCGTACTGAAGAATTTATTTGTTATAAAATAGTTGTTGTGTTATAAAATAGAATTATTGTTATAAATAGATACTCAATCGACACGTTTAATTGCTAATTATTTAACTTCAAATGTAACAATAACTTTACGATGTTATCGATGTATGATTTCACACTCAACTATGTAACTACAATATAACACATGTAATAACACACACACACACACACACACACATATATATATATATATATATATATATACGTAATAATTACATTCCATTAATGTAACTTATGTATTTCAATATTGCTATATATACATGTGTTATATTGCAGTGACATTGTTGAATACGAAATTATAATATCGATATAAAGTTTTTTTGTTGTTGCAAATTATTATTATATTTAAAGTAATCTAGCTACAATTAAACATGTCGACTGGGCACTTATTGCCTATTGTCGCTTTAATTGCAATATTTGTAATAAATTATTATTTATATGCAACTTTTCATCCTAGTTTTGTCACTGTATCTTCCAATCTTCCATCGAATAAATTCTTCCAATGTTAATGTGATTTCCAGTCATCATCAAGCACAAATACTGAAAGCCCAAAAAGAAAAGATAGTATCACCGTCTGTATATATAACAATACCTATACAACATGTAACGCAAACTAAAAAACCGAAACCACGAAGCAAGTCCAAAAGCAGTAGGCGTGCTTCTTCAAAATATATAAAAGAGCCAGCTGTGACAGACAGTCAATGCAAAGACAAAGAGAAGTTCGATCGTCCCAAGAGTCAGTACAAGGACAAAGAGAAGTTGGATCGACCCAAGGTCAATAACAAATACCTTGCATTTTGAATATATAATTGGTTTTAAGTATGCCTTAAGTCTTCTGTTAAGTCAAGATAATTTCGATATGTAGAAGACACCTCGCCTGATGTTCCCGGAAATGCGAGGGGGCATACTGTATTCCAGATGTTACTGTTTGCACAGAAACGGTCTTCAAGATGTGTGTCCGTTAACGCAATGCCAAGGCCAACCGGAATGTTTGACTGAACCATGGGCTATCTGTCCACCGGGAAAATATGTCAGATCGCGTTACCCAGAATTGTATCCGACGAAAAAAGATTGTGTACAGCGTGATGATACAAAATGAAAGGAAAAAAAAAAGGAAAAACGAAAATTACATTTTGTGTTTATACATACAAAAAACTTATCTCCGAATAGAATGTTAATATTTTTAAAAGATGCGTCAGTTTTTAAATTTTTTTATTAAGTCGCCGGACAACATGGTACACATGGTAAACAAACTGGCGGAGGACAGAAGGGTATACAAGGAGTTGGTGGAGGATTATAAGAGGGAGGAGAATAATCTCCTGAACAGGGAGGTGGACAACATGTGTAACAAATTTGCGGTATACAGCAAGCATTCGCCGGGGACGGTAGGTAAACTTGACGTAATGACGATTGCTCATCGTAGCATGCTGGCTTGGCGTACGAATTTCCATTATTTTCATTGTCGTCGCAACAGGATATCGGCGAGCACGACTGGACTTGCTTTCCATTGTTGCAAATTAGTCTACAATACGCGGCCAACGCGGCTTCTCTGGCCTTGTCCGCACAATAGAACTTTTTAAGAGCGACTTCCGTGTCGCTCAAGTCAGTTAGCTTCAGCAAAGCAGTCCGACCTGGTTCACAAACTGGATACAGTTTCGTCATGCACTCCGGCCTACCCATGCAATCCCAAATCATGCACCTATCCTGTAGGCCATTCCTCTTGATACATTCACATTTGTACATTACACCCGCACGGAGATCGTAACTCTTGCACCGTTTGACAGGTACCTGCAATATATGTCTTCGGATAAGTTAATTGATCGGAATAAAGATAAAATATTAATAAGAATGAAAATATTAATCAGATAGGAAGGCAATTCTTTGTAGGTGAAACAACAGGTTTGGGTAAGTTAACATTCTTTTTTAATTAAATTAAGTTAAAAGTTGATTGCTATAAATTAAATTTACGTAAAGTTACATAAATAAAATATTAACTCAATTATGAGTTAAATTAAAATGAATTTAGCTTTATTAAGAAAAAAATATTTTGTTAAAAATATCCTTTAAAAGTTAAAAATAAAGTAAAAAATTAATTAAGTAAAAATTAATTATACAAAGCTATATATGAAATATTTTAACTGAGAAAAGTAAATAAGTTAAAGTTATTGCATAAAAATTAACTAAAGTAACAAATAAAAACGAGTAACTAAAAAAAATTAAGTTTAAATTAAAAGTTAACTCATTTAAACTTAATTGAGTTAAAAATTATTAACTTTTTAACTTAACTTTTAACTGAATTAGCAAGTTACTACTCAACTGTGAAAAAAAGTAATAAAAAATAGTTAACTCACGCAGCAAGGTGCACAAGGATCACAAGGATTAAAGGATGGCTCCACACATTTTACAGTAGGTGTATTAGGTGGTTCATCCCATTCACATGGTTTCCTGCGACACCATTTTAATCATATTAGTATGTGGCTATCATCAAGTAAAATAAACATATTACCTTCTCTCCATAGAGCTGATCAAACATTTAAGTTGTGTTAGTAATTCGCGTCTTCTCTCGCAATTGGAATTTTTACCGTCGCAAGGCATTTTTTCGTTCAAATTCTGTGCCACGCAACACTGGGAAATTTTTCTCCGGCTCAGCCTATATTCTCACGTTTCTTTCATTTCTTTGCTATGTTACATTTTCTATATTCTCATTTTAAAAGATTAATATGCACGATACATGGAATTTAGCGATTTTAGTGTAAATTTAATAGAGATTACATTAACCTGACATCAAATGATTTTGTTCTAGTCATAATTGTCAATTTATTGAAACATCCAGTTTCCTAGCAACTACGTTACTATTTGCTACTACGTAGCAATAAACGATCACTCTTAAAAGCAAATAATAACAAAAGAATAAGGGAAAAGAGCTATATATTTATATTCTCACATGATTATATCGAATATATTATCAAAGTACGTTATTAAATTACGTTACACATTCGCGCTGTATATATGTATGTACATGTTTCACACGATCACAGAGCAATAAATTTGTATGTATCTTTTCTGATTTTTAATAAAATACCTTCTTCGTTCATTTTTGAAATTAAAGCAGTAAAATCGCTCATCGGGACACTTCCGGACGCAGCAAGTGCATTCAATTCCTTTACCGAGAATGTTCGTTCTTTATCCATATTTACTTTCCGTTCCAATATTCTGATAAAAGCTCTTAACTGCAGAAAAGAACGGAAATTTATGGCCAGAAAGTACTTCCCGACTTTTACACAAACGTAAACTTACCTTCTTGTTTGTTAATTTACCGTCGGAATTTAATTCCGGCACTACGAAGTCTTCTTCCAACGTGTCTGCCATTGTATATTGTATTAAATCTACTACGTCCAACGCATCCGACTCAGTTGCTTCAATACGTAATTCCAATTTCGCTCTAGCCTACAATAATAATAAAACACTATAGAATATCCTGTGTAGCTTGTATGTCTGTCGCGTATAACGAGAAGAAACACTAAACCTCAGTCAATCGAATCATGGCTTCTAATTGTCTGTTGAATATCGGTAAGTTACCAAATTGGTTATGCTTAGAGCGAAGTTCCAAGTAATACTTCTGCAGTACTTCCGCAGCTGCAACTGATAATTTTGGCTTCACATACTGTCGTGCATAGGATATGTACGTTCGAAGAATGGATGGCGGTATAATATCACTAGACACTGGCAATATCAGTCTTTTTCTGAAAAAAATATCAATGGTTGTTTCTTCTTGTGTTTGTTCTTGTTATGTTAAAAGCAAACACGTGTAATAAGTATACAATAATGATTATTGTTTACCTCAGAGAACTTTCACCATCAAAGGATAATTCCATAGATTCTCCATTGGAATTTTTGTGCGAACTAGTGTGAACAGTCATAATGTGTTTGCATAATAGACTATCAAAGTGCTATTGCAAATAAAAACATGATACCGCTACAATCATTCACATACACACATGCGCGAGCGCACATTATATACAATATTTGTTTAGATTGCAAACGGTTATTTACTTTGTTTGGTTTGTCCAACAGCAGGAAGATCAAGTCAAATCGCGAAAGAAGGGGTTGACTAATATTCAAGTTTTCAGTTACTGTTTTGCTCTTGTTGTACTGCCCGCCTATAGGATTAGCCGCCGCGAGGATTGACGTCCGCGCAGGTAATGAACATATCACTCCTGATTTTGCTACTGTAACACTTTGTTGCTCCATCGACTCTAACAATGCCTAGAATAAATATATATGTAGATATTGACTTGACAGCCTTATACAGTGTCTCATTTTAATAGAAATAGTAGAATATCTTAAAATCGAAGTAATTGACAAAAAAAAAATGGTTCAGACAAAAATTTATCTTTTCTACATGATAATATGAGAGAAATTGATTATTGATATTGATCATAACATATATTGATGCATTTGCAAAATGCAATAAATCTTTTTTAAGATTTCTCTATGTTTGCTTACAGAGATCAATTCCACCTGTCATTCTACATACAAAATTGTTAAGGTGATGTTATCAAAATGTGAATACTTTATGAGAGATATTTCATATTTTGTATTGAAAAATACAGAATCAAAATTAAATAAAAATTATAACTCTCATATTATTATGTTTTATATATTTGTTAGTTACTCCAATGTTTTATATATTTTAGCACACTTGCTATACGTTGCCAACGGGCATATTGTTTTACCTGATGCTGAGAACACATTTTATCAAATTCATCAATGCAGCAACAGCCTTGATCCGCTAAAACCAGAGCACCAGGTTCTAAAGAAAAGTCGTTAGATCCTGTTTCCTTCGTGAGCGTTACCGTTAATCCAGAAGATGTACTTGAATTGCCGCAGATGTATACACCTTTCAACAATATTTAATTTTTCATGTGATATATTTGTACATTATGCAAAAAACTTACAAGGAAAGGGCTTCATCAGCTCTTTCATCGTTTTCAATTCAAACTCTATGTAGAAATATTGTGGATGAAGTCAATAACATATTCTGCAAGTTACAACCCCAATGTTTACATTAAAAAAAATGATAGTATAATAACCTCCCCATGGATGAGGCCTCAAAAATCTGGAAACGGTCGAATATTTCATAAACAATGTATTTTAGAAAAAAATATTTCAGACAAAAGTTGTAAACTTTTAAAAAGCACATTTAGTGGCAGTATGAGTGTAATCATGGGTAGCGTTACTAAGGTCAGATCAAAGTCAGACTAAGGTCAACCTAATTTTTTTTAATGGAAACTATTTTTCATTGTATTATCTTGTTCTATTAATTAATTTGAACAACTTTGTCTAAAACATTTTTTTCTAAAATGCATTGTTTATGAAATATTCGACCGTTTCCAGATTTTTGGGACACTCTGCATGGGAAGGTTATTATATTGCCATTTCTTTTTAACGCAAAGATAGGGGTTGTAACTTGCAGAATATGTTATCGACTTCACCCATAATATTTCTGCATAGATTTTGAATCGGAAACGATGAAACAGTTGAGGCTCTTCCCTTATTAGAGGATTTTGATTTTCTCCTTTTGTACCTTTCGCAGATATCCGAGCGCATGCTTGTAGCATCTGTGATTTACCCAGACCAGGGTCTCCAACTAATAGAATGTGTATATCATTTCGTAGTTGTGCGTGTTTTGCATTACCACCGAACAAGCTCAATATTAATCCAGCTTTGACCATCTCGTGACCGTATATACTAGGGCATAACGAATGCACCAACAATGCGAAAAGATTTGGCTCTTTATATATATCCTTTGATGCAAAAAAAAATATCGAATAATTAATTCTATGATTTACGATACTTAATTTAATTTCATATACTATGAATACCTGTATCGCTAAATAATTTTTCAGTGAAATCTCATTGCTCATAGAACTTCTATTATTTTTGTATCTATGTTTTTTATTAATAACAGTTATTGCTTGCATATATAAAGAGAATGGAGATCCAACTTGTGGCTTTGCATCATCGATACCTTGTACCTTAAAGCATTATAAAATAACATGTAGATAACTGTTAGAAAAAATATGTTCATATAATTGACCAGAGAAATACCTTGATAATGCCTGTAAGAGTTATGTCATCTCCAGGCATACAAATATTAACCAAATCATCCATGAGTTGTACATCGAGTATTTTAGGCACTCTACCTTTATTTTCCTACAAGATAATATTAGCATATTAATATATATAATTTACAATTTTATAAATATTTTACTTCGTATATGGATACTAGAGACATTAGCATATTTTAAGTATCTAAAATTTTCTTGTACAGGTAATAGAAAACTACCTGTTCATCATTCAATGGCTCTTGTATTCTGATTATCTGAGATAAAATACTTTTCACACAAGGTGAGTCTAGAACCGGATAAAATTTTGATGTGCCACAGGTGTCACACTTTTTTGGCAATGTGTACACTTCCTGCAATTGTTTAATTAATTTTTGCAAATGGCACTTAGAACAGGCAAATACCATCCATTGTGCAAGATATTTTACCCTATCAACTCTTATTACACATCCTTTAGTGGATACCAATTTACCTGAGAATAGATATTTATTTTGTGATTATTGTTTAATGACAATGAAAGAAGACAAAAATATTGAGATATGTAATAAGTATTCTTTTTAATAGAGAAAATATATAAATTTATACACATACCATAATAATTTAACTTAAGATCCCGTAAACCTATAACTGGTTGATAATTTAATACACCTAATCTAATGGCTGGTAAACTGCTGATAGATTTCAGAATATACTCTAAATTTTTTTCTGGTACTGTCTCCAAAATTTTCTAAAAATAAAATAGAAAATTTACTAAATAAATATAAAAATGAAAATATTATGAAAGATACTTATATATAATATTAAACATACCTGATGAATGCCAAGTTTCATACAATTTAATGTACTTATTGGATTCTCATATATATCATCCTTAAAATTTGGCCATTGTTCTATAAATTCATTGTCATTGTATAATTCACAGATGTCAATGTCAAATGACATTCCTGCCTCTAAATTTTCCATTGTGAGTAAAGAAGAAAAGGTTTGATATCTTTCTACAAATACCATTATAGCTTTAATCTGCTTTGTAATAGCGCCATCAACTTTGTATTCTATAAGGATAATTTATTAATATACAAGATCTTATATACCTTATATACTTGAC